TTCTCCTCGAGATCCTGGTCAGAGCGGGAGATGTCCGTAGATCCCAGCGGGACGGGTGAGTTCCCAACAAGACGGGTGATATCCAAACGGTCCAACAAACCGAGACGGGTGACACCCCAACGGGCGCGAACATCTTCTTCCCCTGGAGCGAGGCGATAGGGCCGTGACAGAAGGGGCCGGCTCGCTGGTCGCCTGGGGTCGGCCAGGCCGCTCCTGCTGACGAGGGCCGACACAGGCTGCGTGCCCTGGGAAGGGCCACCCGTACCCCCAGGACGACGCACCCCCGGTCAGATGTCGCAGCGGCGACGATTCCAACCACGGTAGGGCGCCAAAACGCAACCGTTGGGCGCCTCGAGGTGTGCCCTGAGGCCCCGTCTCCAGGGCCCGCCTCTTCCGGGGTACGCTTGGCCTCCCCTGGAAGCCGTCCGTGGCGCGGAACGGGGTCACTAACACGCACGTTGGGCTGCACGTGTTTTTTCAGGATGTGAATCCTCAGAAGTCTGGACCCCTTCCCAGGCACCGTCCTTTCATCCTGGGTCGTCAATGACTGACCCGGGGCCTGGTGAGCGCCACTGGAGGCCGAAAATGTAGCAGAATCTTCCGTCGTGACGTTTTCACGGCGCGAGAATTTGCGACTTTGTCGATGCGCGGCCCCAGAGGTCCCGACCACTTCCCCAGGGTCTATGTTTTTGCCCCGGAGCCATTTCTGGCCTCGGGTCTCGAGAGCGGGGCCTGGAGGCCGACATTGAAGAGAAGCGCCGAGACTGAAAAAAAAAGTGTCGTCGGAGATCTGGGCAAGGCGTGGGGCGGCGCAGCGGCTATGTGAGTGTCGATTGGATGAGGAGGAGGCGGAGGAGGAGGAGGATAAGAAGGAGGAGGAGGAGGAGGAGGAGGAGGAGAAGACAGGAGGGAGGAGGAGGAGAGGAGGAGGAGGAGGAGGAGGAGGGGAGGAGGAGGAGGGAGGAGGAGGAGGGGAGGAGGAGGAGGAGGAGGAGGAGGAGGAGGAGAGGAGGAGGAGAGGAGAGGGAGGAGAGGAGGAGGGGAGGAGGGGAGGAGAGGAGGAGGAGGAGGGAGGAGGAAGAGGAGAAGGAGGAGGAGGAGCACGAGGAGGAGAAGGGAGGAGGAGGTGGCTGACGCCCCCGGCTTGTGAGCCCCATGCTTTGCCCAAGACAAGAAGGGCCAACACACGCCCTGAGGACCATCGAGCAGGGCTGGAGCGCGGCCCAGCACAACCCGCCGGCCGCGACGAGCGCGAGCACGGCGGCGGCGTGCGCGGGGCTTTCCCGCGCGTGCCTGGCCATTGCTGGGCGGCTAAGGGCGCGCAAGGGTGGCTGGCTGGAGCCCGCTTCTTATGATTCGCGACAACGCCCGTGACCGCCCGCCCCCCCCCCACTTGGTCACGCCTCGATTCGTGCCGCTGGTGCCGTCTAGTTAATAGCTATTCCCAAGCATTCCCAGATGGCGCCGGCGCGGATCGTGACGTGACGGGCTTCCTCCCCTCCGCCGCGCTTCCAGGTCACGCCCGTTATCGCCAGAGGATGAGAGAAACAATCTCCTGGAGCGGCCTGGGGCAAGGGCGTGCGCGGCGTGATCGCCTTGGCGCCACAACGTTCTGAAGAAAATCCTGGGAACCTCGCGCGGCAACCGCAGACCCAGTGTATGTCGGATCCGCGCTGGAATTACGTCGGGTTCACGTCGGATTGCGTCGGATTTACGCATTCACGGCGGAGCATCGCCGAGCGAACGTCGACTCGTCGCTTACGTAACGGACGTGCGGATTAGATCTTATGACTCTTGCGCGCCGCGCGAGGCAGCCAGGATGCCTTACAGAGAGCGGCTTGGGGCAAGGGCGTGCGCGGCGTTGGCGCCTGAGCGCCACAGCGGGCGTCTTCGGCCAAAGTGGCTGCGGAGCTCCCCCTGTACGAGCGGAGACAGAACAGCTGTCAAACAGTGCGGTCTTCGACGAGCTGGATCCAAGCTAATCTTCAGAGGCTATCAAAAGCCAATGGTTTGCGCCCAGCTGGGACTTTGCTGCTTGTGCCATTGATGTTTGAACGCGGCCTGCCAACAGAGTTGCCCAACCCTACAAACGCAGAGCTGATGGCGATGTTTCCCAAGCGCGTTCCCTCCCTCCGCCCCCGTCGCTCCCTCCCCCGGGGGGCAACTCGCACTGGGACTGGGACAAACTCGGGACGGGACAAATCGAGGGTCGCTGAGATCCGGCGGTTCTGGAGGATGTATGGGGACAAATCGAGGGTCGCTGAGATCCGGCGGTTCTGGAGGATGTATCGGGCGCCGCAGCCTTCTCAGAGCCCTCCGGAACGCTTTAAGGGCGTTCTGGAACGCTCTGAAAAGACGTGTCCCAACTCTCGCCCTGCCCAGGCAAGAGAAGGGAGCGAGGACGACGTGGGGGGGGGGGGGGCGACCCCCCCCCCCCCACACACACACACACAACCCACAACACACAACACACACAACACACACAACACACAACACACACAAACACACGACACACAACACACAACGCATACAACTCACAATACACACAACACACAACACCCACACCATACACCCACGACACAACACACGACACACACAACACACAACACAACACACAACACACAACACACATCACACACAACGCACAAGACACCACACACACAACACACGCAGCACGCACACAGCACACACACAATACACACCACACACAACACCACACACAAGACACACAAGACACAACACACAACGCTCAACACATACACAACACACAACATATATAACACACAAATCACACCATACACAACACACGCAACATACAGCACACAGACAAACATAAACACACAACACACAACAAACACACAACACACACACATCACACAACAGAGACAGAACACACGCACACACACCACGCACAACACACAACACACATACACACAATCTCACACACAAACTCAAACACAGCACACAATCACACACATACACATGTACACTGTATGTATGCATGCATGTATATTTGCATGTGTACCTATGAATTTTTTTTGCCGCCAACTCTTGCTTAGCGTGCCGCGGCGGCGGCCCCGGTAACGCGCTGTGCCCCGCGAACTGATAGCGTGTTGCTCCGGTCCGCGGGGCGAGAGGCTGGGAGGAGCTTGGGACGTTGACGTTCGGGCACCAGGGATGAGGTTAGCATAGAGCAAGGACCGAACGTCCCTGCGTGGTTCGAATAGAAAGCCGATGCATTCGCGCAGAACGGTCTTCAACCAGAACCGTTCTAAGAACATCCCGTGCGAAACACACTGTTTCCGTCGCAGCGCTGCAGAGGCAGTCCGCGCGCGCGTCCAAACAACCCGGGCTACGGCATTGCGAATTGTCCTGCAGGCAAACAGAGAGGAGAAGAAGAGAGACGACCGCGGAGAGCGGAGGCAAAGAAAGAACGAAAGCGCACTCACGCGGCGAATCCGCGGGGGGGCGCGCGGGGCGGCCGGGCAGCAAGGCAGCCCCTGGCAGCAAGCGCAGGGCGGCGTCGCGGGCGCACCCAGGGGAGGCACCGGCGGCAGCAGTGCAGGGCGAGGCCCAGCAAGCGGGGAGCTGCAGGGGCAGCAGGGCCGCCAGGATGGCGGGCCAGGGCGCGAGGCGGGGTAGGGGCGGTGGTGGCTGCGCGAGGCTGCTGCGATGGGCTCGCGTGTGGCGACGCGCCAGGTGACGGCGCAGCATGGCGGAGGCAAAGTGCGACCGCGGCGCAGTGGGGGGGAGTGGCGGCGAGAGACGGGGCGAAGAGGCCAGGCAAAGCCGAACGGCCAGTGAGAGCCAGGGCACCCGGGCGGCCGCGCGAGCATGTCGGGGGGACTGGGGGGATCAGAATCTGGTCCTGATCCTGCTTCGGGGTGCGTTCTGCCCGAGGAGTTTCGCGGCGGGTCCCCCCCAGACATGCGGCGTCCTGATTTTTTCAGGACGGCGTCCCTGGAAGTTCCGACCCGTTCCCCGGGACCGGTTTTTCATCCTGAGTCGTTTTTTGACGGTCCTGGGGCCTGGCGAGGGCCTTTTTGGGGCCGAAAACAACGAAAAGCCTCCCGTCCTGGTTCTCTTACGACGTCGTCATGTCTGGGCCCGTGGCGACGGGAGGCCCACCAGAGGCCCAGACAGGGCGCAGGACGCTCAACACCTTCGGGCCTCGAGCTGCGCCCCTCCCGCGAAAAAAGCGGGCGCCGCCGCCTCTCCAGCGACCGGGCCGCGTCCGCGAGCCGGCGCTCCACCTCTGCGGGGCGGGGCTCGGCGGCGCCAGCGCGCTCGGGGAGCCAGCGCGGCGCGCGACCGGGGGAGGAGGGGGGGGAGGAGGAGGAGGAGGAGGAGGAGGAGGGGGAGGAGGAGGAGGAGGGGAGGAGGAGGAGGAGGAGGAGGAGGAGGAGGAGGAGGAGGAGGAGGAGGAGGAGGAGGAGGAGGAGGAGGAGGAGGAGGAGGAGGGGGAGGAGGAGAGGAGGAGGAGGAGGAGGAGGAGGAGGAGGAGGAGGAGGAGGAGGAGGAGGGGGAGGAGGGGGAGGAGGAGGAGGAGGGGGAGGAGCGCGCGCGGGGGGGGAGGGGGAGGAGGAGGGGGAGGAGGAAGGAGCACCCCACGTTCCCTCTTCATAAGGCCCGAGAACTTTTTCCTCATTGCGAAGAAGGCCCCGTTGGAGGACAACCGGCTGAGATTCCTGAATCTTGCCAAGGTACCATTCCTGGGACTTCAGCGTCTCGAATCAACGTGACCGTTGCGTCTGGATAGTCCTCAATCGCGCCACAACGCAATCCCTGGAACTTCGACGCCGCGAATCAACGTGACGGTTGTGTCCTGGAAATGCTAAATCGTGCGAGAACGCCGTTCCTGGCACTGCAACCATGTGAACCCTTGAATCTGCTGCAGAATTATAAGACGAATGTGTGTGGTGATGTGGCGAGAATCACACGTTGACAAACAACTGCGCTCCATCCCTATGGCTGTCACGAACTGTTAAGACGAATGTGAA